CGCTGGGGGGCTCTAGGGGGAGGCTTGGGGTAGGTTTGGGGGGGGCACCCAGGCCATGCTGAGAGCACCCCTTGTTCTCCAGGCCTACCAGAAGTGGGTGCGGGAGCATGGCCCCGAGCACCCACTGCACCACCTGAAATACACCCACGACCAGCTCTTCTTCATCGCCTTCGCCCAGGTGAGCCCCCGCCCTCCCCGCATATGGCACATACCCGGGCAGGGGGATCACCCAGTGTGGGGCCAGTGGCCCTGAGGGACAGGGCAAGAGCTGTGCTGGACCCAGTGCCCATGGCCAGGAGCCGGGCTAGGCTCCATCAGCAGGTCCTGGGCTCAGGGCACGGGGCTCAGCCCTGCAAGGAGCCCCCTGCACAGCCCCGCTGCTCCTGGGGACCCTACAATGACAATGTGCCCCCCCATTACCTCCAGAGACCCCCATGGTAACAAACGCACATGACCCTGAACTCCTAGGAGACCCTGCAGCCAGGCAGCCCACTGCCCTAGGAGACCCTACGATAACAAACATGCCCCTATGCTTTCCCAGCCCATCTACACCCCATAGACAGACTCCCAGGAGACCCTACAATAACAAGCACAACCAGGGCATCACTGCCTTAGTCCCTCAGCAGTAAGAAGGGCTGTGGTGCCCTCGTGGGTGCCAGGACCCCACGGGCCCCAGTGGGTGCCAGGACCCAGAGTGCCCCATCCAGCTCACCCATGGGAACCTTTCTCGCCCCCCCTACAGAACTGGTGCATCAAGCGGCGATCCCAGTCCATCTACCTGCAGGTGCTGACGGACAAGCACGCCCCGGAGCACTACAGGTAGCCGCCGGCCCTGAAATGGGGGTGCATGGCAGGTGACAGCCTTCCCCATGTCTGGCAGTGCCGTGCAAAGTGGGGTGGGCATGAGCATGGCACCAGAAGGCTCTAGGTGGGCATCCCTGGGGCAGGGGATGGGGTGCTGCTGGGGTGAGTGGGTGCCCGTCTCTGAGTTGCCCCCCTCTCCTGGCAGGGTCCTGGGCAGTGTCTCACAGTTTGAGGAGTTCGGACGGGTTTTCCACTGCCCCAAGAACTCACCCATGAACCCAGTGCACAAGTGCTCAGTGTGGTGAGGCCGATCCCTCCCCCTGGCAGGCTGGCACCCCCCATCCCCATCCCTGCCTAAGTTCCACCCTGTGCCTGCTCCCCACCTCCGCCCGTCTCCCCCTCCTACTCTCCAGGCCAAGGGGGCACCCCCGGGTGATACAGGGGGTTGCTCCCCCAAAGACAGGCACCCACCGGAGGGTGGAGGCAATGGGGAGACACTTGGGGTGGGCATGAGCTCCTGCCCAGAGGCAGCTGCCTCCTGCCAAGCCCCTTCTTATCCCCTGCCCTGTGAACTGGGGGAGACCCTGAGACCCCAAGACCCCATGAAGGAATGAGGGAATGCAGGGCACCCCCCCGGGCACCTGTGTACCCCCTCTTCTGTCCACCCATCCCAAACCCTTCACCCAGCCCTACCATGTCCTGCCCAGCGCCGGTCAGGGCAGGGAGAGCGAACCAGAGACGCTATGGGGCTGCCCACACCAAAAGCCCCCCTGCCCAGTGCCCTCCCTGGCACCCCCCGTGCCAGCCCCATCCTGTCCCCGCATCAGCCCTGCCAGCAGGTGGGTGCAGCCGGCAGGGCTTGGGGCTGGGTGATGCCAGCCTGCCCTGGGAGTGCGGGGACATGGATGCTTGCTGTATTTTTCGCTGCTGTTTCTGGTCAATAAAGCGCTGGATATGCTGGGCGGGTGCAAGGAGCTGTGACCGGGCAATGGGCAGCAGCGGGCAGCACCCTCAGCCTTGCCTGCATGGCATGGGAACCCACACACTGCTAACACGCCTGTCCCACCAGCGTCACACCCCATGTTTATTAACCACCAAGTACCCCACGTGGGTGGCGTAGGGCCCCCTGTGCCCGGGATTCGGTGCCCCACATCTGCCACACGTGGACCAGGGATGCTCCAAAGAGCTGCTGGCCACCTACGGGTGCTGCAGCCATGGGGAGGGGGGGATATGGGTCTGGTAGCACCCATGGGCTGCCCTGGGGCCATGGGGTCAGTAGAAGAGGGGCAGGAGGAGGGTGGGCAGGAGCAGGGCCAGGGGGCTGGCGTGGGCACCGGCAGCAGAGCCCCGCTGGCGGCAGGCAGTGTATGGCTCGAGGCAAGCGGCATAGGCCATGACGTGGGCCACGTAGGTCTGCTCCTGCACCCCGTGGAAGAGGTGGGCCATGGGGCCCTTGGCCAGGATGGCCACGTCCTCACCGCCGTGGGTCTCTGAGTCGAGGGGCACAGCTGCCTGCTGCAAATAGTCGTACTGGTCTGGGGAGGGGGGAGAAGGGGGAGAAGGGTCAGCGGTGGCCCCCAGCACCATCCCATACCTGGCCATGGTCCCTATGTCCTCACTGGCTTTCTCATCGTTGATGTCGGGCCGGACGCCACCCTGGTAACCCGGCCCATTCCCGTAGAGGATGGACGTGTAGTTCTTCTGGTCAGTGGCTTTGCTGGGGGCCACACCTGGGGATGGGGCAATGGAGTGGGGGGATCAGCCAAGGAACCCCCGTATCACCCCTTCGGCCACAGCCAGGGTGCCCTGGAGCTGGCAGCGCCCAGCATGGAGCTGTGCCCCACTCTCGGCGGCCAGGCAGAGCCCTACCGAAGATGGAGGAGCCGCGCAGGGTGTAGCCACCAAAGGAGAAGACGTGCGAGTGGTCGGCGGTGACAACAGTGAGGGTCTGTGCCTCGTCTGTCAGCTCACCCGCCCGCTCGATGGCCTCGTCGAACTCCACCGCCTCCGTCAGTGCCTTATGGGCTGCACCGTCGTGGTGGCCATGGTCAATTCTGCCGCCTGCAGATGGGCACCCATGGTGGGCTGGGATCGACGGCAGCATCCCCAATTCTTACCCTCACCCCGGGATGTGGGACCCCCCCTCTCACCCACCCCAGGGGCATCAGCCCTGACTTATCTTCCACGAAGAGGTAGAAGCCGTTGGGGTTCCTCTTCAGGATGGTTATGGCCGCCTCCATCATCTCGGTGAGCGACGGGTCTGTGGTGGTGTTGCGCACCAGCTTGTACTTCATGTCCACGGGTTCGAATAGACCTGGGAGGGGACGCATTGGGGACAGTGTCAGTGCCCGCATGCATCCTGGTGGCTGCCATGTCTCAGTGCATGAGACATTTGTTACCCATCAAATATTTCACGCTGGGATCTGCAGCAGCGGCCAGCATCTCCGTCTTGTTCCAGACATAGCGGGCACCCTGCGGGCAAATCCCATGGGGGGTTAGCGGGTGCCCAGCCCCGTACCCGGCGGCGGTGGGCAGAGGACTGTCCCCACCACATCACCCACCGGGCGTGCCTCCAGCCACATGTTGATGAGGTTTTTCCCATCCTCACGTATCCCGTTTGTCATGTTGTAGGTAGGATACTCGGGGTCTGGTGTTCCCATGGGGGTCATGTATTTCCGACCACCCCCCAAGATCACCTGGAGGGAACAAGATGGGCGCAGCGTTAGCGGGGGTGCCCGGAGGGGGGTTTGCCCTTGCTACCTGCCCCACCATGCGTGGGTGCTCACATTGATGTCGACGTTGTGGACCAGCTGCCAGGCGATGTCCTTGCAGCCCTGGAGGCGGGCATCCATGGGCATGCTGGCATCCGCGTACCAGTCACGGTTCACCACGTGGGCATAGGTCCCCGAGGGAGATGCGTGCTGCACCCGCGTAGTCGTCACCACGCCCACCGCCTTCCCTGCCACCCCCTACCTGTCAGGCCCCATGAAAGGCGACCGGCAGGGGCACGGGGTCCCCCACCATCGAGCCCCGGGATGCTCGTGGCGGGGGCAGCCCCCGGCTTGATGTCCCTTGTCGCCCCAGGGTCCCCTCCAGCCCCGCTGCCCTGTGCCCCCCCCATTACCAGCTTTGCGGGCTCGCTCCAACACCGAGACCACCTTGTTGCCCGCCGTGGTCTTGCACTGCGAATAGCGGGCAGCTGCGCTCAGCCCCACCGTCTGGTAGTTGCCCTTCACGCCGCAGAGGTAGGCTGTGGCTGTCCCCGCGCTGTCAGGGACCTGCCGGTCCACGTTGTACGTCTGCCGAGGACATGCACCAGGCTCAGGGTGGGGGGCAGCTGGCAGAGGCACCTGTCGGGTTGCTCCCCCCTGCATCCCTTGCCACACTCACTCGCATGCCTGAGGGCAAGTTTGGGACAGGCAGGGACCCTGTGCAACCCATATACGCATCTCCAGGGTGCTTCAGTGCCAGCAGCCCCATGGGCATCACCTTGGCCCCATGCCCGGTGTGGTGGGGATTTACCTTGGAGAGAGCCACGTAGGGGAAAGCATCCATGGCAAGGGGGGTCTCGGGGCCCAGCTTCCCCTTCTCCTGTCCCTTTAGGATGCGGGTGGCTGTGAGGGTGGGGATCCCGAATCCTGGGTGAGGAGAGAGGGTCTTGGTCACGCTCTGGACCAGGTACCCTCCCCACATCCCGCTCCATGGGCCAGTGGCCGTGCCAGCCTGCCTGCTGGGGGTGTCAGCAGGACTCACCATCCCCAAGGAAGAGAATGAGGTTTTTGGCTTGACTTATTCTGGGCTGGATCTTGAAGGAGCTCTCGATGGCTGCAGCCGCCTGATTATTCCAGTAGGATGGATTCTTCTCCGCCTCTGTGACAGGGCAGCACCCGTCAGTCCTGGCTCACCATCACCTGCATCCCTGGGGCACCTGCATCCCTCGGGCACCCACATCTTTGGGGCACCCACATCCCTGGGGCACCCACATCTCTGGGACACCTGCATCCCAGGGGCACCTGCATCCCTGGGGCACCCACATCTCTGGGGCACCCGCATCTCTGGGGCACTCACATCCCTGGGGCATCCACATCTCTGGGGCACCTGCATCCCAGGGATAGCAACTCCTTGGGCATCCCCATGGTGGGGCCTTTTCTGACATGGACCGAGCGGCTCAGGGTGCTGTTTGGGATGGGGAGAGGCCATGTGGGCTTGCATCCACCGCTTGGCCTGGGGGTCCTGGGGCAGAGAAGGAGAGGGCAGCAAAAAGGGACATGATGGGGGGAACTATCTGGCAGGTGGGATGGGGCCACATCCATGGAGGGGGAAGGTTACAGGCACCTCCCCCAGCCCCCAGCCCAGAAGCAAGCAGGACCCCATGGGGGAAAACTGGCTCAAGGTCCCCAGAAAAGCAGGGGTAACCCCCATTAACCCTTGCAGAACCAGGCAGCCCCTGCTCACCTCCCCAAACCCTCCCTGTGGCCAGCCAGGTTGGTGCCCTGCTGGGTGCCCCGCTTCCCCAGGCACCTGCTGCAGCCAGCCGAGCACCCATCCCCATCCTTGTCCCCACCTGGGACGACAGCAGTGCTGAGTCTTTTCCAGAGGCTCAGGCAAAGGGTGAGGAGTGCCAGGAGCTGCATGGTGAGATCCGGTAGCCCGGCACCACTGGCGGTGTCTGCAACTCTAGCAGATCTGGGGAGGGACTTTGGACCAGGATCAGCCCTCGTGGGGTGTGTAGAGAGGTTCAGTAAGTCTCAGGTAGCCTTGTGTCCTGCCCAGCAGCGGCACAAAGGCCATGGGGCTGGGCTGTAGGCATCTCCTTGGCATTCCACCTTATTGCCACTGGGGGATGGACAGACTTGGGGTGCAGATGCAGGAGGTGAGGTGATGGGCAGTGCCTGGCAGGCATCATTGCCCACCCTGGCTGTGGTGCCAGGCGGGGGGATGCCCTGACCCGGGGTGCCACAGGCAGCATTGAGCATCAGACCTGGGGCAACAGGGGTATCGGGAGCACCTGGGGTCACTTGTGCACCGAGCAGCCCTGCTCTCTGCCCAGCACTTTCTTGAGAAATAAATACACTGATCTGGACTAAAACTCTGCTCCTTGCTCAGCCCTTGCTGGGAAGGTACCAACCCTTGTGTACTGTGCCCCCGCTGTGAGGGACATGGCCTCCCCTCACCCTCATTGCATGACCTCCTTCACCCCAATGCCTCCAGTGCTGGTCCAGGGGAGAACTAGGAGCCAGGACCACCTGGGGAAACTGAGGCATGGGGCAGCACCTTAGGAGGCGACTGCCGCTGCAAACCCTCGCACTGCAGATGGAGATGAACAAACTGTGTTTTATTGCATCCCTTGATCCTGGCCACAGTGGGGACCTGGCTGCTGAGCCCCTTGATGGGGCAGTCGGGGGTGGCTTGGGGGGGCTGGGCAGCCCGGCTTGAAGTGGGGCTCGCCGGGGGCTCTCAGCCCCCTACCAAGCGGGCAGCCACGCAGAGGGTCAGGAGGGGGAGCAGGGGCTGGGGGGAGTGCTGGGTGCCATGGGAGGCCCTGCGGGCTGCCCTGCACCGGGGCTCGGTGGCGTAGGGTTCAAGGCAGGCGGCATAGGCCATGGCGTGGGCGATGTAGTGCTGCTCCTGCACCCCATGGAAGAGGTGGGCCATGGGTCCCTGAGCCAGCACCACCACGTCCTCCCCGCTGTGGGTCTCCGTCTCCAGGGGCACGGCTGCCTGCTGCCTGTAGTCCTTGTCCTCTGCAGGGCAGGCAGGAGAAATGGGGCTGGGGGCAGCAGGCTCCCCTACCCATCGCAGGGATGGGGAGGCAGCTCCTATCACCCTGGCGTCAGGGCAATTCCTGCCCAAGTGACAACTGAGCCACGTGGTGGCACCGGGACCCCATGCAGCCCCAGTGGCCATGCCTGTGTGATGCTGCCCCCAGCCACCCTGTGCCCCCCACCCCATCCCCAGCAGGCTCCTACCCGCAGCAGGGAGGCTGGCGGCCGGGCGGCCCCCATCACGGATACTGTAGCCAGGCCCATTGCCATAGAGGATGCTGGTGTAGGCTCGCTTGTCCTTGGCTTTCTTGGGGGCCAGCCCTGGCACAGGGAAAGACACTCTCACCCCCTGTTCCAGACAGGTACCTCTCCCCAGCTACCCACCTTGGCTGGCTCAGCCTCCAGTGGGAGCAAAAGGAGGAGGTGGGAACAGGGATGCTCGCCGCCCCTCCCTGGGACCCACCAAAGATGGACGTGCCACGCAGTGTGTTGCCCCCAAAGGTGAAGACATGGGAGTGATCGGCCGTCACCACTGTCAGGGTGTCAGAGGGGGAGGTGAGCTCGCCCGCCCGCGCCACTGCCCGGTCCAGCATGACGGCCTCCATCAGCGCCTGCTTGGCCCGGCCGCTGTGGTGGCCGTGGTCGATCCTGCCACCTGCATGGGGAATGTGGTTGTCACCCCCTTCCTGGTCCCCTGGGACACCCACCTTCTCCCAGGACCCACGTCCCACCCCAGCCCTAGCCATGCTGCCCGCCTGGGGCTACTCATCTTCCACGAAGAGGAAAAAGCCATTGGGATTCCTGCGCAGGATGCGAATGGCCTTTTCTGTCATCTCCACGATGGAGGGGTCTGTGGAGGCGTTGCGGTTCAGCTCGTACTTCATGTCCTTGGGCTCGAAGAGGCCTGGGGGAGTGGGGCAGGGGGTGTCCATGCTGGGGCCGCTTCATGTCCCCATCAGCACCCTCGAGCAGGGAGGAGGAGGAGGAGGTGTTGCCAGTGGCGCAGTCATTGATGCTCTTACCCATCAGGTGGCTCACAGAGTCATCCTCGACTGCGTCCAGGCCCTTCTTGTCCCAGACATAGTGGGCACCCTGCCAGCGAGAACAGAGTCAGTGCCTATGGCACGTGTCCCATGCCCGGCGTCACGTCCCCTCCACCTTGTCACGGTACCTGCTTGGCACTCAGCCATTCGGCAATCAAGTCCAGCCCATCCTTCCTGATGCCATTCTGAGCTGGGTCCTCTGGGTACTCAGGGTCTGGGGTCTGCTTGGGGGTCATGTACATCCGCCCGCCGCCCAAGATCACCTGCCAGGGAGCGGGGAGCTGCCACTGGCACCGCCACAGCCCTGCAGCTCAGCAGACCCTCCCAAGGTCCCCGGTGTGTCCCCTCCCTCCCACGCCTGCTCCCCAGCTCACATTAATGTCTGTGTTGTGCACCAGCTGATAGGCGATGTCCTTGCAGCCGTCTCGCAATGCCTCCTTGGGCATGTTGGTGTCGGCATACCAGCTCCGGCTGGCCGAGTGGGCATAGGCTGCCCCGGGCGATGCGTGCTGCACCCGCGTGGTCGTCACGATGCCCACTGACTTACCTGCAGCGTGGGCAAAGGTTTACAGGGAGCCTGTGCAGCCCTGCATGGCATGGGATGGCCGTGCTGCGCCAGGCTCTCTGACAGATTGCCCACTGCTCCGTACCTGCCAGCCTGGCCCGGTGCAGGATGGAGTCCACCTCGTTGCCAAAGGTGGTGCGGCATTTGCCGTAGACGGCCTCCCCGCTCAGCCCCAGCGTCTTGGCATTGGCCTTCACCCCGCAGAGGTAGGCTGTGCCCGTGCCAGCGCTGTCGGGCACCTGCCGGTCAATGGTGTAGGTCTGGAAGCAAGCGGGGGCCAGTGGGGTTTCGAGCAGGAGCAGGGCGGCTGCCTCCCGGCGCTGCCCCACTCACCTTGGCCAGGGCCACGTGGGGAAAGGTCTCCATGGCCAAGACGCTCTCCTCGCCCAAGCCACCAGCCAGCTGCCCCTTGTAGATCCGAGCCGCTGACACCGTGGGCAACCCCATGCCTGCGGGCATGGCAAAGCCGCGGGGTGGCAAGGAGCCAGTCCCAGGGCCGGTCCTGTCCTCCCCAGGCATTGCCTGGGGCTGGCTGGAGAGGAGGGGACCTGCACCAGCCCCATCTTCTCACCAGCCACATCCCCAGGCTGCTGTGGAGCCGTGGAGCTGCGGGCCAGGCTGGGACCCAGGGGACTCACCATCACCCATGAAAAGGATAATGTTTTTGGCCTGCCGTGCTGCTGGCTGCAAGGCCAGGGCCGACTCCAGCCTCCTCCTGGCCCCTTCATTCCAGTAGTCCGGGGTCTTCTCGGCATCTGGAGGCGAGAGCAGAGCCGGAGGCATGTGGGGGCATTGGGCACCCTGAGGGTCCCAGGGGACAACCCCCCTTGGGGACCAGGGTGGGCATCTCCACCCAAGGTGAATTTAGCTGCTCTGAGCCGCTGCTGTGGGAGCCTTGGAGGGGCTGGGAGCCCTTTGGGGATCAGTCTGGCTTTGGGCAACCCCAGCATTGCCCAGCGCCTGTCTGCAGATGGGGAAACTGAGGCACAGTTTGGCAGGAAAGCGCCTCATGCCTCTCAGCAGCGGGGACAAAGCCTGCTCTGGTGGGGGCTGAGACAAACCCATCCAAAGTTTGGGATCTCAAACCACCCCAAGCTCCCGAGGCAGCCGGGAGGGTTTGCCTTCACTGGTATCCCATGGGGAGGTGACAGGGTCCTTGGAGACCCCCAGAGAAGTGGCACCAGCCCCAGCACCCCCCACCAAGGGCTCACACCCCCCCGGCCCACACGTCCCCCCTCGAGCTGTCACCTGAGGCCGCAGCGGCTAGCTGGGTGAGGAGGCAGAGGAGAAGGCAGGTCCCACGGGAGAGCGGCCGCCCCATGCTGCTCATCCCGGCTCCCTCCCCGAATGCCGCCTGCGTCCAGGGCAGGGGGACAGCCCTTTATGGCCCTTCCCTGTCCCGCCGGAGGGCTGAGCCCCGCAGCAGGTGAGACGATGGGCTGATAACACTCAGGAACTATCTCCCAGCCCTGCCCAGCACCCTCCCATTGCCCCCAGCCCTTCCTGGGGCCATCCCTCCCCCACACCGGTGAGGGAAGACCTCCAGCCCATCCCTGGGGACCAAGGCACCTCGGGGCCCCCAGCTCCCACGGTGGCAGCTGCCTGCGGGACCCTGGGGAGCGGCAGGGAGGGCGCAGGGCAAAGGGCTGTTTTTGCAGACAGGCTGAGCTGGGCTGGGCTGGATTGGCCTTGTTTCCCCTTGAGACAAAACCGAGGAGGGGGACACCAGGCTGAGGGGAAGGGGGAGGACATCTTGCCTTTGGTGTCAGTGCTCTCAGGTCCCCTCTCCCAGGGGACACGGTCACACGCTGCCTGCCAGGCCCTGGGGCAGCCCCTGCCAGCACACCCTGCTGTGGGCAGGGAACAGCCCCGCGTCACCAGCACCCAGCGAGGAGCAGGAGACCCAGGGAGGAACAGGCTGCTCCCACCCGCTCCCACGTCTGAAGGTGACATCCACGCGTGGTTGCACCAGGCCATCTGGGGACATCCTGCACGGTGTGGGTGAGGGACATGGGGACAGAGAGCAGGTAGAGGCGCAGAAGGGCTGGTCGGTCCACAAGGTGCTGGATGCTCTCTCGAGCAGCAGGGAGAAGCAAGGACATGGTGCTGCAGGGTCCCCGAGAGGGGTGAGGCTGGAGGCCAGGGTGTGAGGGGCTGGAGCAGACACCCAGTGAAGGCTCAGACCGAGGGATTAGCTGCCGGAGCGGGAGCCGGGAGCACTCATCCACCCGATCCCCCACGCCCTCCGGCCGAGCACGTGC